TCCTATATACTGATCTGGCAGAAAACTGTGGTATGAATGACATGCAGATCAACAGGAAAAACCACCATGCCGAATTTTTGAAATGAGGCTTGTCCGGATGGGTCAGGGATCAGCACTGGGTGCTGCAAAGCTCCCGCAGACTCCTGTGTCTTGGTTTCCTATGTTGATTAAAAATGATTGCTCCATCCGAGATGGGGCATCTGTGTACAAAGGGTGGCACTTTATTTTGTAACACACACACTGTACCTGTGTTGAAGAAATATCCCTGAACAATACGCTTATAACTCAATTGTTCAAATGAATAGTTTTTTTTTCTAGAAAAAGTGATGCTGATGCAAGGCCAAGCAGGAGATTCTATTTCTAAATCTGTATGTTCATAGTAATGTAGACAAGCTTCTTTGGGAGGATTCAAGCTTAAATAAGATTGTGTCTTTTTCTACAAATAAACTATTATAATTTGTTTGGTAATTTAGGGTAAACCTCACACTTATTCAAATGATCATGATGAAGCAGTCCTGCTTTATTTTATAAAGCCTTTTCAGACTCTCAAGTGAGAACTATACATTGTAAAATGCTGAGGAAGTGAGTAAAGATTTTTCTTCTTAGGCATAGGTCGGAGTAGAGGAAAGTTTATGAAGGAAGTGACAGAAAAATCAAGGAGTAAAACAGTATAATATAGCAGGTCTTTACTAGAACATCAGAGAGAAGAAAAAAGTATCAGAGCACGATACATTTGGAGGCATTTTTTCTTTAAGTGACTTTCATAAAATTATTTTATTTTTATTGGGAGTGGGGGGACTGCCAGTTCCTTTCTAAAAATATAAACTGTCATGTTTTATAAGGTTCTATATAATGAAATGTTGTTTTTTGATAAATACTGTCCGGTTAAATTTGAGAAGTCACAGATCTTGTGATTTTCCAAAACTGCTGAGAAGGAGTATTTTGTACTAAATGCTTCTGTCATGTGGACTACAGAAATACTGGCTAGTCTTGAGGCATTTCTTTTGCTGTCTTCCTGGGAGACTAGTCAGGACATTGAACAATCCTTGCCTCAGGTTGACTGTTAACTCTGTGAAAAGACACTACCTATCTTTTAGTATGCTTTGAAATTTATAGTTTATAAGCACTAGGAATTCCTAAGGGAAAAAAAGAGGCTCTTTACATACCAATAGCATCTTAAGACAGTCTAGTACTACTGTCTTAAGTTATTTAAATCCTTAAAACATTCCTCATTTTTGAAGTATGTTTCCAAGTGGTGGTCTATAACAAATATTTTTTATCAGAATGCCCAATCCTCCTTTGTATCTAGAATTTACTGAGGGAAAAAAGTGTTTAGAAGGTATGCTGTATGATGTCCATTGAACAGGGAGCTCACATCTCAGCTGATACATTGCATAGAAAGAGTCAAAGTCATTTTTTAAAAAGTTTTACTTAAATATGCTTTATTATAACTAGGGTTTCAGTTTAACAGAGATCAGTCTTGGGCCAATCTAAAGAGGACAAATATTGGAAGTTCTGAAATGACAAACATGGTAGATTAGAATGAGAGCCCAGAGTGTTTATAGAAACTCAACTGACATGTTGTCAAGTCATATTGTCACTGGCTGGCTAGACTTGTACTTAGGACTGATTTTCAATATACTATAAAGAAATGAATTAGTTAAGAATAATATTGCAATATGTTTAGAACCTAAACTTTTTAACTTATGTGTGAAATTAGTTATATTTTCAGACAAGTTTTTTTAAAAAGTTTTAAAATGTCACAGTTAAAATATTGTCCCATTCATATGAAATTATTTTGATGTGCCTGGATACTATCTATCATGGAAAATAAAATTGAAAAATATGTAGTAGATGAGAGTAACTCTTCTTTGGGGTAAAGAGTAACTCAAAGCAATTTTTTTATAAGAAAAAAATGAAAAAACTCCTTAACTTGGTTTTCAGTTTACATTTATTACTAATATAATTTTAGTCTTCATTATGCATCTTTCAATTATAGTGATTTGGTATAAGCAGAGGTGGAAATGTCAATCTAATTAGCAGGCAAACATAATCTTTTTAAATAGAAAATTGTGGACAGTGTAGACGCTTCTACTTTGAATAGAAGTAAAATGTGAAAATCTACTTTCTCTTAAAAAAAACACTACTATGATTTATCTCTTATATTAACTAAGCTTATTTAATATAATTTTTTATCCTAAGTATCAAGTCATTAATACACATATATATGCTTAGGCTCTAATAGATTGGGCATTTTCCAATGTGTGAGGTGCCAAAACATTAAAGAGATATATTCGGCAACAAAGGGGCTAGAGTTTGTGCATTTATAAAACTCAAAATACAAGACAAATTTTAAATCATCTCAATAATGAACACTTCACACACATGCAGTGGTATAATATTTAAACTCAAGATTAAGGGAAAGTGCCACATTAGTGTCCCTATGATAGGCATACTCTACTTTTAGAGAAGACTTTTTAGTCCACAGTCATATTCGAACTCTTTCTACCTATATGATTGCTACACAAACAAATGTCTTACAATAAATGTCTTATGTTTTTACAAAGCAACAGCTCTTCTCTACAGGTACTATTGTTTAGAAGATGAGGCTAACTCATTTTATTTTGTGAGAACAATAATTACCTAAATTTTCTCACCGATAGGAATCAGGTCTCAGTGTGGCAGGTGTCCTGTCTCAACCATTAGCTTGAATGCAAGCAATTGAACTTTATTAACAAGAAAAATTAAAGAAAAATAACAGTACATTTTAGGATGATTTAACAATGGCACTTTTGCTTTTCAGAATTAATATCTGCAAAGTATGACTTTTCGAAGCTTTGATTTCTATTAAAAACATGGGGTTTCATTTCCTTGTGAGTGAAAAATGTACAACTTTCCTGCCTTGTACTGTCTTTTCCTTGATATATAGAATAAACTCAGTTTAATACAAATAATAATTTTGATCTAGTACGTGCAAAGTGGGGGAATTCTGTTTACAATAATATTTACATTTAAAATGTCTACTTCTCTCTATTTTGAGTCTAGTGAAAATTTTAGTGAATAATATAATATATATATTTCAACTGATGGAAATAACTCCTAGCACTTACCAAAGAAAACAACAAAATAGAAGATGGCACCACAAGGCAAGTGTTTTCAGCTAAATCTCCCATATCTTAAAATATTCAAATCTGAAATGATTCAATCACTACAATAAATTTTGAACCAAGTAAGGATTTTATGTGGGGATTTCTGAGAATTTGCTGACAGACTAATTTATATACCAGACATTCTTTTTTATATGATTCCATAGAAATTTTGGGAACCAATAATTATATCTTGTACTTTGAGAGAATTAACATGATATCAATTTAAGGTAATTTAACACTATAACTTTAAAAAGTGTTCATCTTTTCCTTTCTCCATAACTGAACAAATCAGCATCTGGCTGATTCTATCACTAATAGAATGTACTGTGATTTCTTCAATTCTAATTTTTTTACTTCCAAGGTAAGGAAGATAACTTGTACCCTGCTATTTTTTTTTATTATGTGAAAGAAATCATCATAATGATAAGAAACCATCATGATGATAAGTTCAAAAGTTAAAAAGCAAAACAAAGCAAAATTATCACATTTTAAAAGCTAAGAAAGTTCTGAATACTCAAGATATATTTTATTTAAAATATTCTAGATACTTATGATGCAAAATACTTTGATTTATCTTTTAAGAAACACTTTTTGGGTATGGCAGTAAGAAGCAGGTGTTTGATCTGATTGTTTCATGGTCATGCTAGCAAGGCATGGGTCATGGGATTGATGAAGCAGCTGTTTAACTTCCTTTGAACATCCTAATGACGACTTTCTAAAGAAGCACCACTTGTTACATAGGCTTCCATGGCATGTGTTCTATAACCAAATAAATGGTCATGACCTACAGTTGCATAACGACAGACATACTCCTCTACCACTTCCTTAAATCTATTAATAGTTTTTATCTTCACATCAACCCTCACTCCATGTGACACATAACATAAAGCCGGCTGCCTAACCATTCTTTTTGAGACCTTTAATGATATGTAGTGACACTAATTACCTAATCCACTCCTAAATGTAATCTGATATTTATATGATAAGCAACAAAAATAATGCATCAAAGGGCATTCTTCTAATGAGGGACTCTCAGAATATCAGAGTTGTTAAAAATCGAAGAGATTAGATAAGCCAATCTTCTTATTTTACACATGAGGACACCTGAACTCAGAGTCTATTCCTGTAGCAGACTACTGGCTTTTAATAGATTAGAAATAAATCCCATACCTAAATCTTTCGATTCCCCATATGTTACACTGTTCCTCAAAAGTCCTTCTGAAATGTATAATAATCTTATTCTCACATATTTCTTTCTTTCTGAGAACTCCCATTTTTCAATTCTAAAAAAAACTCTGAATTTCATTAGATTAAAAAAATGTTTCAGAGAAATGCTTAAAATAACACCAAGGAAATCCCTTTTTATATAATTATTACACACTAGCATGCTCTCTTGAAAATTTCTCCAATGTTATATTCCTTGCCATTACAGTTAATGATAATTGGCATACCCTAATTCATTAATTTCTTTCTGGACATAGAAGAAATATTTAATTTTATTTTAATTAAGTAGAGTTTAGATGCACAGGCTATCTTATACAAATAGAATTAAGATGATGAATTACAGGCCTGCTTAAAAATTTTTTTTAAATATAACATTTCAAAAAAATATTATGAATTACATATAAGTGCCAGTACCTCAATGCAGAAAGTGAATTTTTCCTTAAAGAAATTCTCTATGCATCAGTTGCCAAGGAAGTGATTCACACTCACAGGTGCATACACATATATTCACACACAGATTCAGATAAATTACCTATGAGAACAAGCCAAGACCCAAAGTGAATCTAAATCTAGAAGACAAAACAAAAACTAATGTTCCTAAAAAGGAACATTAAAAAAAAAAAACTTAGTTGACACATAATCAGGCCTTCTATCTTTCATGTCTGGCATCTCCATCCCCTTGGGTGTGGGTTATAGTTATAATCAGCTACAGGAAAAGAGTAATCAGACCTGGTTTCCATGGACATTATTTCAGAATCATTTCTGGAGGACTGCCTATAATACGCATATGGCAACTGTGAGCCATATTGGGAGTTGGTGGACATATTATTATTGAATAGGGACGTGACATTATACTCTCGCCTTCCACATGAGCCCATATCAGCCTTCTGGGTTTGAGGAACATAGGACAACTTCTCATTCCAATCTTCTGGGGGTCCTGGAAACACCTTCCTCCGAGCTGCTGAGACCACATTTGCCACAATGGATTCCTGGATGTTTCTGGGTCTGAAGGCATCGTCCACTAGGCCAAGAGGAGACTTTGCTGCTGCTTCCCAAGGAGTTGGTCTCCTGTTTGCTTTCTCTAGCCCATCTGTTGGTTTGTTAGAGTAACTATAGGCAGGCTGGTATACCCAAGGAGATGTAGAAGCAGTTGGTGGGACTGATCTTCCAGGAAGAGAAAAGGAGCGTCCACTCTCCTAGAAACAATGAAAATGTTAATATATTTCATTCATTTCGGTCTGTGCTGATTGCTACTCCAAAATATTCATGGCACCGTTACCAAGCACTGCAAAAATCAAACCCTCTCCATGCTTAGTCTTCAAGTCAGAAGCTGTCTCTGCCTAGTAGCTCTAGTCTGCTACCTGTCCTTGCTTTCCTCACCTGGCCCTCCTTGTTGCTCCTGTCTCTGAGCTCATAGCTCCAATTGCTGCAGTCTTCCTTTGGCATAACCACCATGACAGAGGCCTGTCGTCTCTGGGAATCACCTTTACTTCGATCTTCCCTCTATGGTTATGTACAGCCATAGCCCAACCTCATCCCTCTCCTGCTTTCTTGGTAAAAATAAACAAGACAGACTGATAACCCCAGAAATGAGCTGTAAATTACTGGGCTTTTTACTTTTTCCGAGTGGCTTTTAATCTGTCATCTTATTTTGGTCCAGTGAATGTTGAAAAAACAAACAAGACCTACATACATGTAGTTGGCATCACTGGCATGATAGAATCACTGGCCCTTTTCCTCTCGAAATCTATTTATGTGGTGGAGATCACATGAATCTTTACTTCCTGATTGTGGTGTATTGCCCATATCTCTGAGGGAACCGCTCCTGCCTCTTGTTTCATTTAGTATTTTGTTTCCTTTTATATGTACATTCTTACTTCTTTGAGAGTCTGTCCCTGCAACATTCCTCTCTACACAGAAATATGATTTACTGAAAGCTCTTGTGTTCTTTCTTTGCCCCTGTGCATTTCTAGCGCACCTAATGATTAGCTATTTGCATTTCTCCCTCACATATTCCCTCATTGGCATGAGACTCCCTTAGACAAACTCCTAACAAAAAGTACCAAGGGGACATGAATTAATTTTGAAAGTATCAAAACAATGTGCTTTTTGAACAAAAAGTAATGCCATGCTTAAAAATGTGTTCTAATCCCATATACAGTTTCAACAGCTTTTTTTTCATAATCAAGTTCTTAGCTACAAAGGGAATAGCAACACCTGGATTTGGGCAAAATATCTCCGATTCTATTTTTTTTTTTCTTTAGACACACACAAAAAGTAGACGAAGCCGGGCTCGGTGGCTCAGCCTGTAATCCCGCGCCTTTGGGAGGCTGAGGTGAGTGGATTGCCTGAGCCCGCGGGTTCGAGACCCGCCTGGGCAACGAGACCTCATCTCTACAATAAATCAAAAAATTAGCCGGGTGTGATAGCACGCGCCTGTAGTTCTGGCTACTTAGAAGGCTGAGGTGGAAGGATGGCCGGAGCCCAGCAGGTCGAGGCTACGATGGCCGGGAGCGGCCACTGCACTCCAGTCTGGGCGACAGAGTGAGACTCCAACTCAAAACAAAAACAAAAACTAAAACAAAAAACAAACAAAAAAAAGTAGACGATTCATTCCTGGTTGTGTATGAAAAATACACAGGGAATCAATATACTCTCTTTGATTCTCTCTTTTTAAACATTAAAACTTTACTAATAGTGGTTGAATCCTAGCAAAAACTTTCACTAATCTCCTTATATTAACTCAGAACTAGTTACAATCCTTCACTATATCTTTGTGGAAGGGGGGTGGGTAGGGAGAAGTTTTTTAGTCATCTTTAAGACCTTAGTTTCTATTCCACATTATTCACGTGCTGGTTTCATAATTCTCATTTAATGAAATATTTGTTGAACATCTAATATTTCAGGTACTCTTCCATGAGCTAAAGACACAAGGATAATAAAGTTGCTGCCCTCAACAAACATACAATCTAGTAGTATGTTTGAATCCACAGTGTGAGTGAGTCAATCAAAGAATGGTGAGTGAATCAATCAGCTGAGAGAAGAATCGCTTTACTTATCTTGACAGGAAAAAAGAGGGAGTTTTTTAAACTGTGAGAAGTATTAGGACTCTGCCTGGCTCTGAGAGAAATTGAGCTGTCCCGTAATGTATGTCTATATCTCCCTTTTGTCCTCACCTTTGAAACAGAATAACATTGGTCTACAGAGTCCATGGGAGAGTTTTCATGTTCCCATGATATTCACCTTGTGTGGTCTTTGATTACATGCAGCATCCCAAGGGCCTGCTTTAGTTAGTATCTATGTACGAAAAACACTAGCAGGTTGAGGAGATGGCAGTAGACAAAGTGACCCAAGACTCTACAAAAATTTAAGAGAGGCCCCTGAATGTATATCCTGGTGATTAAGTCACTGACTAATAACTAGGAAAAAAAAAAGTTATCAATACGTTTAGGAGTATTAAGTACTATGTGAAAGGCACTACAATGTTAAGACATCCAAAACATTGGATGAATGGGAGGAATTTATCTTCTGGTCTTTCTCCCACCCACTTAGCTCGAACATCTTCAGAAAGAATTTGAACTTAACAGAATTCAGAAAGTTCAAAACATCAGCAAGTGATACCCTAATAACAAAAAGATCAGAGCTTTTTTTTCGGCTAAGGTATAAATGTTAATCTGTTGAATGTGTAGGGAGAAAAAGCAAAACATGGAGTTATGCTATTGAAAGAGTAAGCCAAGATTTTCTGAAGAGAAATTACAAATAGGATTGAAGTTGAAAACAAAAATCTCATGTAGAGGACACATATGACAAATACAACAGCGGTGTTGGTTGTGAGGAAAGAAGAGTGATTCCATCAATGAACAAAATGATGACTGTTCCTCGACACATTGTTCACACTGACAAACGTGTCCCTTTAAGTGCTAACAAGAGAGGATAAAATGAAAAACTGTCTCAGGTTAGAGGTTCAACTGTGATATAAATACATCATTCTTTAGGGACATAGTTGTTTCTGTTTGTGCCAAAAATATTGCAGCCCTCTAGTAGCTGCCACACCCAAACCCCTAATTTTAACATATTTCTCTTCTCTGAAGCAATTATCACATTGTTTTTTGGTGCTATTTCCTTCCATCCATCTTGGTCCCAAGGCTCCTGCTGTTCTCTGCTTGGCTAAATGAAGCCATGTGGTGTACCTTGAGCCAGAAATAACCAAAGGGACCTGGAAATAACAGAGGTATTCCTTCTATTTTGGAGTTTGACTGTCTGATGGTAGAATTCTAGCATAGCATGGGTCAGATTCTGGGATGTCACTTCTGCCATGGGTTTTGTTATTATCAAGGGAGAATTTACACTTTTTTATATGAGAGCATGCAACTGCAACCAGTATGTTAAACTGGCTTTACCCATGAAGTGTCATCAAATTACTTATTTCTTTTTGTCTCCTACTACCTACCCTTCAAACTATATTTAATGAAAGAATTTTTTCCAATGCCAGTGAATGAAAACTTAGCAGGTCCTGTGACATTTACTTTAGGAATAGTTCTGTGGTTACCTTAAGCTACCCAAATTGGTCTTATTTTGAAATAGAAGGTTCCTGAAATAATAAACTCCAATATCAACTTAAAGTTAACTCTCCTCTTCCCCAGTGGGGGCCTGTCTCAGGAGGGTCACCTTCCTTCAGGGAAGCAGTTGGGGTTGGCTTCCTCACTCTTTCCTTCCTCTTCTCCCAGCTCACTAACTCTGCCTTCTGGACCCCTGAGGTTACAGGGAAAGGAGAGAGAAGAAAAAGGAGCAGAAGGAAATTTTTACTTGATTTGGTAACATCATATTCTGGCTTCTTACTCTTGGGGCCAGATAGGACCACAGAGGTACCCTTTTATGTGATATTTGAAGATTCCCATCACTGGGGGCATCTTGCCTCCAGTCCTTGATTCATGCTAATTTGTCTCTATTCTACAGGGTGGCTTACTCTGCACTCCCTTAGGAAGCTGTCTACCTCCAGCGTATTGCTACCAAGATCCATCTGCCCCCTTGGAGAGGCCCAAAGATAACCTCTGCCCCCTTGGAAAGGCCCAAAGATAACCTCCTCTAGCTCTCCCTTAATCCTGGCCTGTCCTGGTCCATGCGGTACACTCACATCATTTACCTGTAGGGAAGCAACAGTTTGTCAACCTATTCCTCACCCTCCAGATTTCCAGACTGAGTCAGACTCAGTCCACTCTGACCTCCCACTCATGCACATGCAGGCATCTCACATCCAGTTCTCTAAGTAGTCACTTTGAAACTCTTCTCCCACAGGGCTTGGGATGAGGAGGTTGGGCCATTTTCCACTCCACCGACTCCAAACACAAAGCTTCGACACTCCAGAATCCTCCTCACAAAGTTCTTTCTCCTTGCTATACTCTGATCCCCTTTAGTCATTTGGGCCTGGCTGAGGGGTTTCAGAATTGTAAAAGTATTTTGCTATTATTTTCTTTGTGAAGTCCATATTTTAATCTGGAATCTCACTTCAGTGTTCAGTATCTCTTGGGGGCCTCAGCTGAAATTTCAACTTTAATAGCCTGCTACATAATATATCATTTTCAGTAAAGCACAGAAAGCTTTGTTTTTCATTTTAAATTAAATTATATGCTAAAAATAAAATTAAAAATGTTTTCATCTCTTAATTAATTCCAAGAAAGCTTTCTAATAACTTCAAATAAAGTTGCAAACTTACACCTCACTCTGAACCTCCTCTAGAGAAGAGGGCTTGCTTGTTTCCAGAGCATCTTGGTCAATCCATAGGCTTTAGTTTTGGGGAACTTCTTTCTTATATTGAGCCAAACTTTGCCTCCCGTAGTTTTACCTCAATGATCATATAGACGACATCTACTTCAGCTTCTATATAGCTATTCCTTCAAACATTCTCAGTTTTTTTCACTTTCTTGGAACAACTTCACTATCCCGTTGTTAGCCTTCATTTTTCAAACTAAAGAGAAATAATATCAACTGTGTTCATTCTCTCAAGTTTTCTACATCCTTCTTTCTCCAGTTTATTAGGCAAGGCTAATACAGATATAATATCTTGATCTTCTTAAGTAGTTCTATATAGGTAAACACAAACACTAGAACAAACCCACGTGCCAAGGGAAGACAATATTCAAATTGATGGAGGGACTTTGTCATCTGGTAGATGGCACAGATAAATATTGGAAAAACA